CGCCGCGCCGCCAGGGTGCGCCGCGCGGGGACCGCCCGCCGCCGCCGCCACTCACCTCCAGCCGCCGGCAGGCCACTTCGCTCGGTGCAGCACGCCATCCACCGCGATGACAAGCCACTGCTCTCTATCGGGAGGCTCCCTCGTTCACACCCAACACTGTCAGTTCCAGTTGAACACTCTAATTCTGGTACACTGACCTTTTTTCATTCTGTTGTATTCTGTATAGAGATGAACATCTCCGGTTTTCTCAGGAATGTCTTTAATGGGCTTCTCTTTCTCCTGAGATAGTTTATAAAGAGTTATGGGGTTGGGGCGAAGTTAATATGTTACCGTGATATCATTCTAGAGTTCAATAAATGCTTATTGAATGAATGTATAAAGGGATAAATGATTTATAAATGCATAAAGGGATAAATGAAAGTGTAACGGAGAAAACTCTGGACCAAATATCAGAAAATCTAGATGTATAAAAACTTGTGCAAGGCCCTTGTTCAGTGGAATCTTGGTCAGCGAAGAGGGGACCTTGATACTCGCCTTGCCTACCCTATAAGGCTGTTGCAAAGATCGAATAAGGTAATGTATGCGAAAATGCTTTTTCAACTATACAGTATGCAAAGGATACGAAATATGAGTACTGTTCAGTTCATTTGACAATCCTGTAACATATCTTATCCTGGTCACAGAGATAGAATCACAGAGTATAGGTCTCATTCTCTGCCCCTTCCAGAATAATCCCCACTCAGAGACAGAAAATGCCACAAGAGCGCCCACCTCTACTTTGCCGTCTGGAGTCATATTATTCCTCTGCAAATTCTTATATATTTCAGCCTGTGGCCTATTAAACTTACCTTAATCTATCATACTTTCTATCACATAAAATAATATGAAAGCAAAAATATTATCCGTAAATATTCGAATTGCTCAAAAAAAGACTACATACTCAAGATTACAGCTTGATGACTGCATTTCACATTTAGATGATAAAGTCTTTTTTGTCTTCTGGCTGAATATATAATACTGTATTTTATTTAAATTATACATATACATATAATTACATTATATTTACAATGTACCAGGCACTGAGCTAAGCACTCTGCATGTGTTATCACATTTAATTCTTCTAGCAGTCCCATAAAGCACTATTATTATACCTATTTTACAGATGAGAAAACTATGACTTAGAGACATTGACTATGTCTGAGTTCACATGTTTAATACGTAGCAAAGTCTAGACTTTAACAGATCTAAATGACTCGGAAGACCTGGCTCTTAGCTTCTATTCTGCTGTCTGGAGCTGTCAGAATTAAAAGTTATCCTTAAACTTAAAAGAAGTGAAGCCCATGTGAGCCGTTTCTCCCTGCCCACCCTTCCCTTATCCAGATTAAAGCTGTATTGTTTTCCTGTCTTTGAAACATTAACTCATTCTCTCATACACAGATAATTTGGCATCAAATGCTTCTTGCTATGCATTAGATGTTTTGGAATGTTTCTTTTTGCAACTCTTTTTGACATGTATATGGGAATTTGGGGGGCAAGGGTAGAGAGGTAGAAGTACTAAAAATGGAAAAGCTAGGGAAGGATTAGACTCTCTTTTCCTGGAAATTTAGAAAAATAAAAATCTCAAGAAATCATTTGATATATACAAGGTATTTGTTGCAGCATTATTTATAATGGTAGAAAATTAGAAACAACTTAAATATGCATAATAGGGTAGCTGTTCCGTAAACTGTGGTACATCTACATAATAAAATACTATTTAGTTTTTAAAGGAGTAATTGTGTGTAACTCTGGAAGGTAGAATTAGTGACGTTTTATATCTTCTTTATCATTTAGATATTTTTAAATGGTCATGTATTATTTTAAAGAATCAATTTCTTTTCATATATCTGAATATATTCCAGTGAGAAATCATGTTTAAAAAGTTTGTATTGGGCCGGCCCCGTGGCTTGGCGGTTAAGTGTGTGCGCTCAGTTGCTGGCGGCCGGGGCTCGGATCCCGGGCGTGCACCGACGCACCGCTTCTCTGGCCATGCTGAGGCTGCGTCCCACATGCAGCAACTAGAAGGATGTGCAACTGTGACATACAACTGTCTACTATGGCTTTGGGGGAAAATAAATAAATAAATAAAATCTTTAAAAAAATAAATAAATAAATAAAAAATAAAAAAAAATAAAAATAAAAAAATAAAAAGTTTGTATAATACAATCATATAGTTGCTTTTTAAAATATATATGTATGTGTATGTATATATGTATCTGTGTATATACATACACAGACACACACACGCACATAGATGGATATACACCAAAGATGTGAGCATAAAGGTTATTTTAATTTACCTCATTTTCTGCTATATCTATAATTGGTGTTTGTACGGTTTTTGCTTTGTAATTTTTAACATTATAAAAAACTGATAAGACTGATTTTGTTTTCTTTTTTCCCTAAAACCGGGGAAAGCTCTTGCTTTCATTCTCCCTCACTTTCTATAAGGAGAGTGATATGGAGCAGAGTACAAATATGGTCACTTGGACACGCGAGGAATCAAAGTGTAAGGATCCACCCTTCTCTGTACTAGAACATATTATATAATTCTTCACAAGTGTTAGTCTACCTTGAGCAAAATGCTTCTTCATAATATTGGAGATAATATGCCATGATACAGATTTTGGAAGCATTTATTAAAAACCTGTGTATTATATGAAACATAGTGGATAAGATTCATGTATTCAAATCCCAGGTTTGGTACTCAATAACTAAGAACTTAGGTCATTTAACTGCTCTATTACTTAGTTTCTTCATCAGTACAGTGGGGATAATAATAGTACCTACTTCGTGGTGTTGTGTAGGGACTGTGCGACTTCATGCAGGTACACTAATGCTTTGAGGTAAGTGCAGGAGGGAAGGGAAACCTAGAGATTGAAAGAGGCTTAACAGAAGTATTAACCAAATGCAATATATATGGATCAAGAGACATATCCATCAAATGCAATATCTGGGCCTTTCCGGGGAACCTGATTTGAACAAAGCAGCTGGAAAAAGTTTTATGAAGCATTTGGTGAAATTTCAATCCTAACTTTGGTGATATCAAGGAATTATTGTTATATTTTAGATGTGTTCATAGAATTGTTATTATTTTTTAGGGATCTTTATCTTTTAAAGATGAATACTGAAGATGTTGTCATGAAATGCCTGAAATTTGCTTCAAAATAATCAAGTGATGGGGGAGAGAGGTATAGATGATAAAAGACTGACCAAGTGTTGCTATTACAACATGGGTTGCTTTTTTCTTTTAAATACTATTCTCTCTACTTTTGTATGTGTTCGAAATTTTACAAAATAAATAGTTTTTTTAAATACTCTTTCAAAAGTACTAGACCATAGTAAGGACTATGTAAATAATTACTATTATTATATGCTTTGTATTTATATTATCTAATGTTTGTTTACACCTTTCAGATTACAGCATGTTTTCATTTACACAATGTCCTTTGGTACTCACACGAAACCTGGGAGGTAGGTATTATCATCCGCATTTTACAAATGAGAAGACTGAACCAGAGCCAGGACTGCAAGGCTGCATGCAAAACATACCACCTCCACTCTGCAGCTTCAGGGGGCCCCTGGTAAAAGGAGTAGGAGGTAACCGACTAGTGGGGAGAGAACAAACGAACACACAAATGATTCACTTAGAAATATCTATCAGACAAAACTTGAGCTCACATTTGCACATCAGAAAAATTCTAGCTGCTATGTTAAAAGGCAATCTCAGGAGAAAAGCAGAAGAGATTAAATCATAAAGGAAAAGTTCTCTCCAAGGTTTCTATTTCCTTTGTACAACTTATTAAGTTTTATTATTTTAACTTTATATCCTCTACCTAACCTGTTTATTCTTCCTAAAAATAAGACTAGAACTAAGGCTGGAGGACAGAGATGAGAAACTGTGTGGCAAGCGAGGTTGGGAGGCAGGAGGACGTCATAACCCAGTTGTTTTGAGGCCCAGACACCCAACAGTTCTGATCCACCTTAAGAAGCTCTAGCCTCTCCTCTAGCTGAGCAGGCACTCAGCTCCTCCCACTCCCGTGTCAGCTCCGACCCGGGAACGTGGGGAAGGGAGGAGAGACGCACTGAATGGAAAGATTGGCGCCAGAGGCTGCAGGGTCTCTCCTTCCCCCTACTCTACCGGCACGGGGAGGAGCGTGTAAAGCACAGGCCATTGGGGTTTGGTTCTTTTCCGGAGGGTTCAGGATGGGGATGTGTTGTACAGAATGGGGGGGGGGGGGGGAGCAAATGAGGGGTGTGGCTCATCTTGGGGTGGGGTCGAAGGGAGACAAAACTGAGGCATTTGAGATATACAGTATGCGGTGATCATTAGTCGAAAATTGTAAGTTCTTGAGGTCCGGACGCACCTCTTCGAACCATTTCCAAAAGAGGGGGCAAGTTTTCCGTTCTCCGCCCTGAGTCCTCGTCTTCGTTTTAATTGACTGGGTTTAAGGGAGGCTGGGCCCGAGCTTGCTTGTTGATTGGCTACATCAGTAATCTATCAGGATGACGCAAGCAAGGGGTGGCTATTTGGGGAGGAAGTGAAGATTATTTTGGTACCTCCTACCCCAGCTACTGATTGGTTGAGATTTGCAGTGATGTAAAACAAGGCATAAAAATGTCCACTAAAGGGAAGAACCTATTGGCGGTTCTCGCAGGGACGTTGTCTAGGGCGGGACTGGGAAGAGCCAGCCGCACTCTGTTATTGTAGTGAAGGACCAAATTGATTGCAACCCGGAAATGAGTTTAGAAGGGAACTGAAGGAAAAAGGAAAATCTGCGGCACTTTCCTTGCCCTCAAGCAAGGTCATTTCCTGCACGGGATCGATAG